CGGATGCACCGAGTATCCCTGCTTTTTGTGTTTGTGGGAAAGAAGAACTCGTGAGGAGCATGGGGTACAGTCGAATTGGCCGCCAAGATCTCACACGAAACCTGGTGATGCAAGCATTCTACAACAGCCACTTGTCAACAGAAAGATCATTACATTTCCACTTCTGCACATAAATCTGGGTCTCATGAAGCAATTTGTTAAAACTTCGCCCGTTCAAGGAGATTGTTTGTTTCAAGTATCTTATTTTGTCATTTCCTACGTTCTCATTTGAAAAGACAAAGGCCTATGTGTTTGATGATCCCTAGATTCGGCAGCTCCTTAAAAAAAGAACATTTCATTGGAAGAATGACAGAAATTCAAAAAAATGCTCCGTCGGCATTCAAAAACATTTTCAAAGATTTTTCTCGGAAGTACTCGAGCATAGAATTACAGCGAAATTATCCAGCATCTTTTGGAGAGCTTCAAAATGCTTGGTTGCTACATGAGCATCAAACTGCGTTTTTTTCGTAGCCATCTTGATAACTTTCCGAAAAATCTTGGTGCTGTCTACGACGAGCAGGATGAGCGATTCCACCAAGATCTGAAAGCTATGGAGACACGGTACCAAGGTAGATGGGTACCGAGGTAGATATTTACGATGGCTGACTATTATCGGAGCATCAAGCGGGAATGTCCACGGTTTAAACACTCAAGAAAAAGCACAGGCGAAAATTTTTACTATTAATATGTATGTTTATCATTTGGTAAAACAACTTTACTATTTGTATGAACAAAAATTAACTTGCAAGTAACTATATATAGCCTTTGTATGTATGAAACTATCCTTTGTGAGGAGTATATTTTGTATGTTTTCCATTTACTTTCGTACATACGCATACTTGAATGACTTTTAAGACAAAAAGAAAAAATCCCACAGCTTAAGAAGTTGACGTAATAGCCAAAAATTGAGGTTATTTTTGGATTCGGGGACCAGAAGTTGATCAAAATCAAGTGAAAGGTCTAAGACATCGAAATTGCTGTTCCTCCAGTGTTATTATTGCTCAAAAAGTTTAAATATTATTTTCGAAATGTTCTGCATTTATCCTGTCGTTTGAATTGCAAAATCTTAATTTATGTGTTCCCTTTTAACTAGTGACACGAATTCGAGTAAAAAAAAAAAAAAAAAAAAAAAAAAAAAAAAATGGTGCTTAAAAGCAAATGTATACATTCTAAACAACTTAACACCCTAGAAGGTAGCTAAATGAGCGTTGCAGAACTTTAATAACTTTATACAAAGCGAGAAATTACAGCCACTCTTTCAGTTCTTCCGGTGAAATCTCGAGACCCCTATTTTCACCTCCTTACTAAACGCTGCCACTACTAATTACTAAAGCAGTTTAGAAGGGGATCTTATTGTTTCTTGCCAACAACCAAACAAACAAGAACGAAATGCGTGTGTACGGCCTTGCCGAGTAAGTTGTGGTTACGGATGGTTGATCCGGATGATTAAGGGACAAGTTTTTTTTTACTGCCCCCTCCCGAAAATATTCTTTATTAACGTTTATCAGTGAGGTCGTCTGTGTTCTATTGCTCATTGTTCCCACTGTACAAGAGCCCTGATTAAAACGGTTTACCAGATGGCTATCTCTACAACACCGTTAGAGTAGCAAATGGAAGAACAGAAGAAGAGAAAAGGATGCGTGTAGAAGAGGGGAAGATTTCGCGCGCTTTTTTACTGCGGCGCGCGTGTTTGGCAGACGACTATCGTTATGTGGCAGCATATCGATATGTATGATCGTTTCGGAGATGAATAGAGATACTTTGTATCGTATTCTAGATAACTCTGGGAGATAATGTAACATAAAACGATCGGAAAATGAAATAGTACTCTAGCATCACGATTCAAAAAGAGAGATGTCCTTTGAGGATCACTCGAGTAATTCGTGTTTTATTTTATTTGGTGTTAATTTTATTCTCCATAATTATTTGTCAAATATTAAATTTAACACTTTACTTACGAGATCTATGTGCTGAATCACGAATGTTTTAAATAAGCAGTGGCGTGCATACGATATAAAGGGACATCTTCATAACGGTGACCCGAGACGAAAATGCCAGCCCCTTTATTTGAGTCGGCCGCTATTCTCCAAAACCAAACTGGCAAAAGTAAGGTGCCGTGCCATAATATAAAAGTGCCTACACAATTTATAAGAGCAGTTTTGAACATATGTTATAAGGCATTTCTGGTATTTCTCCCATGTTCCTAGCGTGCCTTCGTGGTGTAGTGGTTCTGCACGCTGGGTCGGTATTCTAGAGGTCCGTGGTTCGATTCCCGGCGAAGGCGATTGTTAATTTTTCATCGTTCCTGCTTCCAAATTACCTAATGTCTCTACAATGTTATTGGCACCTTTATGGCTCTCACCCTCTCTTATGTAAGCAGGGTTTCCGCTTGCTTTCAGTGATCAGGAAGGAACATTAAAAACCTTACTTTACAGAAGTACTCCAGCAAAGGGAAGGGCCCCTTTTAAAACTCTCTCTCTTAAAGAACAGTTCCCGATTTTACAAACGTTCTGGCACCTTTATTAAAGCCGCCACCGTAGAGGTTTTTATCTGGGAAAACAACTTCCGATTGTCCCTTTTAAAACTTTTCGTCTCGAAGAACAGTTCCCGTCTTACATAAAGGTACGGGCACCTTTGCAAACCTGCATCGCCGTAAAGGTTTCTGCTTTGGAGAGCGGTTCGAGATTTCGCAAGCACACACACGCTAAAGTAGAGTATCGATTATTATTGATATAATTGACAACATTTTTTGATAGACTTCTGGCCTTGTCAAAATTTGATAAAAATCCATTCCACGTTAAAAGTTCTGTTTATGACAAAATCTTTCATTATAACTTTTAAAAGTGGGTAATTCTGCACAAAGTGTTTAGCATCTCCAGTTTCATTACACCTGCCACAGAGGTCGGAGTTTTGAAGATTAAATCTTTTAAAGTACGCAGAAAACGTCCGTGACCAGTTAAACTATGATTTAAATCTATGGCACTATATATTTGCTCTTCTTTCATTGTTACCAGTTTCACACGCTTTTATTTTTGTCAGACATTTCTCATATTTCTTTCATAGTTAAGCGTAAGGTTAACTATGGAAAAGAAATGGGTTACGCTTAACCAGGGAAATTTGTTTCCGTAGCGTAATAAACGCATTGCCTTTCCATAGTTAAGCGTACGATACATGTGCGACAAGGGCGCACTCTAAATACGCGACGACCCGAGATCTTCTTAAAAGGTTGGTGGTAGGAAAGCGAGATGGTAGACCTCCTCACTCACTTTTCAAACAAAAGCATGCCATTACAATATATTTTTCTAAATGAAATAATATAGCGAATACAAAAAAATACACTTACCACTCTATCGAGAATTCTAAAGATATACTGTTTTTAAATATTTCGTGATTTTGCTGTTGAACTTAATTGCGAAGAAAGTGATGTTTAATAATAACGATAAAATGAAAAAGAAACGTTGTTAAATTATGAGGTTTTCCTTGAACAGCCACAGTCAATTAGTACAGAAGCCCTAAAAGACGTGAAGCGAAACCACAAGAGCACGTACTTGTGCTAATAAATTCAGCCACAGCACGTCATGATTCATCTCAATACAAACGGCCAATTTCAGCTTCAAGCGTAGTATACTAACCAAGGACTACACAATTAAATATTAATATATGTTGGCTCAGTAATTCTGTCCAGCATATCAAATTCAAATATCGGCAGCGATAGAAAGCAAAGCAGAATAATTGCAACATATCATAGCTGGCAGGAACAAAACGCAGCGTGCACGCACAGGCCAGAAATCTTACAATCCAAACAACTCAGTTTAAATGGTACCTAACTCGTTGACATTCTGATAAGGAAAGGGAAAGGAGAAGTCATAGTAAAGATCCAATCTTGTTAATAAAAACCTGGTTAATTTAAAGAATAACCTTATAAAGTCATCTTCTTAAGAAAAACGAACATTTGATATACTGAACTGGGAAAAAAAAAAAAAAAGACTGAAGAAATAGAAAAATGTATAGTATCACTAAATACTCTATCGGGAATTCTAAAAAAATGCTCGTTTTAAAAATTCGCAGTGATTTTAGAGGTGAATATTTTATGTGGCGTAACTGTGAAGAGAGCGATGTGTTGCGTTCTGCGGGTTCGTGGATATGGAGTAATTTATGGTAACACGTGACGAAGAATCAAAACACAATTTATTCGCCAGCAAGCAATATTACACATGACAGTTACAAAGATACGTTACAATTGTCAAAAAACATGCTGAAACAATCAGCAACATAGCCTTCACGCTATAAGATTATAACGTTCACTACTGCTACACTACTAAATTCAACATACAGCTACTCCGCGTACATGCAGGGTATATATAGCTTTAACCTACCTTTGAGAATATTCTCTGGAAAACCCTAAAGAATGCGTTCTAGAACTTTCTCGCTCCGTCTTTGGCATGTCGCCAAATGGACGATTTCGCGCCAAATCTGGCAACCTACCTTTTCCCTGCCACTTTCTGGCAACCCTAAACTCGCTTCGCGGGGAAGCTGTCTTACCGCAGCTGGGTTTTGTGTTACTTCGTGCTCAGTGAGAACAAAATAAATAAATAAATAAAAATTAAAATTAAAAAAATTTTTTGGTGTGATGTTAAAATCTGAAACTTTTCCGAATTTTTTTAATCTAAATTTTAAATGTAATTGTTACTTTCTCTTTTTTATATAAACAATACAAATATTATATATTTGGAATCGTCTGAGACAGCTATGATTCAGGATCGAAATTAAAAATTCGATATTTTGAACTTTTTTTTTCTCTTTTATGTGACCTTACTACAATAGTTTACTAATCCTGTAAGAAAACTAGAATAGAAAATGAAGTCTATTTTTTTTTATGGTCTCTTTTAGTTCCAGTGTCATTTTGCCCCTTTTCATTTATCTGAATCTATATTTTTAACAATTAAATCAGGTATACTTACCTTGTTGATAGGCTGCAAGGGAATGTCCATTGAGGGGGGCGCTCGGCGGAGCGCCGCCCCCCGTCACATGCAGACGATTCCTGAGCGTCACCAATTCCGAACTGAGACTGCGCAATCTCTGCTGCAGATGAACTGCTTCGTTCGATGACGATGCATCTGAAATAAAAAATAAATAAATAAATAAATAAATAGAAATAACATATATCTTTGAAATAATGACACCAATAAATACGATGAAAATATGAAAAATGCAGATTTTGGTAAAATTATGAAATAAATATAATTCTTCCTTTTACAGAAAAATTAATGTTTTCTTTTAAATAAAATACAGAATTTTCTAGGGTATTTTCCCTCTTTCTGTTAACAAATTTAACCGCCCGAAAATCGAGAGAGGAAAATTATGGGAGTCATATAATTTCAGAAGAAGGCGGTTCCTGTATGAACAGAGCAATTGAAAAGTAGTCATGGATAAACTAATGGTAACAGTTAAAATATTATTTCTTAAAAAAAAAAAAAAAAAAAAAAAAAAAAAACCTACATTTTGAATAAGAATGCATAGTAATATAAAACCCATAATATCTCACAAACATTGAGGCGATATTTGACGATAACAGAGTTACCGCGACATGTCCTCTTCAGTTACTATGTAAAGCCCCAGGGGCACCTCACGTGAGTAAGCTTTAACCGTAGTTCTCAAGAAAGCCACCGGAGGAAGGAAGAAAATGGAGCGAACAAAAGACAGGAACTTTGAAAAATCAAACTCATCAGCAGTGGATAAGGCTACAATGAACGAGAATGTAAATAATAGAAGTAAAGTAACATTACATGCGGAAAAAGTTTCTTAAGAGTGAGAACTCCTGTCATATCCGGATAGGTTTATAAGAATCTGCACAAAATTCGTTTCAAATAATAAATACAAGGGAAAACAAAAATGCATCAAATGTTAATAAAAATTCCAACTACAAACTGAATAAAGGTTTAAGTGTTTATTTGATTGTAACAAAGTACTGGAGGGCTATCTGTGTAAGAGGAAGGATGCCTTCATGGAGGGCGTTCTAAGGAAACTGGCTCGTATACACGTTACATATGGGAAAAAACGCCTATGCAGCCAAACCGTTTGCGGTATTCGAACTTCAGACCGAATTACCAGTGTGTTTAAGGTTTTTAATTATTATTCTTGGTGAAATAATATATTTTTCTTTTTTTCAAGCTCATTTTTTACTAATATTTACTCATATATTTTAATATAATTAATTTTATATAATTACATAACTAGGCTCAGCTATTATTTCGGGGCTATTCTGTTGAGGTTATCTTATCGGGGTCATTTAGTATGGGGCTGTTTAGACGTGGGCTATTTTGACGGGGTACCCTTTTCCCTTTGCGATATTATTATTATTATGATGATTATTGTTGTTTGTGTATGTTTTGATAAACTTTAGCAAGCAAAAATTAAAATTTAATTTTAAATGTTTTTTATTTTGTTAGTAAAAATTTGTTGTTTTGTTTAAAAAATATTCTGTTTAGTCATCTGATTTCAGATTAATCCTGCGACAATCTGAGTTTGAAACCACTAAGTTACGCAACATGAATGCTTCTTCTAGTCTCACTGATTCGATTTTACCAAATTGATGTGACCCAGTATGTCGTCCCACTCAAAATAATTCATCACTCTATCCTTCTAGCTATTTCTTTCCAATCCACACATTTGATCTGGTTATTGCATCAACATGATCCACTTTTACTGATTTTTTAGTAAACAACTTCCTTTTTTTGGAAAAAATAAGTTTCGTTTCCCTTTCTTTTCCTCTCACCAACCCATATACACTGGTAAGGGAGGTCAAGTTTTCGGTCCAAAAATTCGATAGTGAGATTTCAGTGAATAAGCACTAATTTGGTTTCGTTACGTTTTGACTATTTTTAGAACGATGTCTCTACGAATTTTTTCATCCGCGATAACTTTTATATGAAACTTCCAAAATTCCTCTTTTCCGTATTTCAGCTTTTTGCATTCACGTAAAGAGTTCATTACCTTGTGGGTAAAATTGGACAACGGAAGTGGCATTTTACTTGAAGCTCATAAAGGCCTGTTTACACCAACGAGACTTTGGATCTAAGAAATGCGAATGAACTTGGCAGCTGCGCCAAAGGAAAAAAATCTGATGTGGACACCCCATGACTACTTTATACAGCCTATCAAAACACTTTCTGCTGAAACTCATTTGAATTTCTTCGGATTTGATTAGAGATATAGTTCTCCTACAACCATACAACCAATACAGTTCTCACTTCGCAGTAAGTCAAAATATCTTTATAAAAAACAGTAAAATAGAGAAAAACCTTTAAAATAATTTTAAAAAAAAATTAAAAAAAAAAAAAAAAACTGAAATGGATCGTTCAAATGGATTCGAGAGCGGTCAAAATGGATATTTTCTTTGAAATATCATATCCGAAATTTTTCGCAATTACAATATTTCCTTTGCTTTTTACAAGGAAGTAAAACAGGCATTCGCTATAGCACAAGCTTCCTACATTGATACAAATAGTTGATTAGATTTTGGGTAAAATTTGGTAACCGGAAGTGGTAATCTACAGGAAATCAATAACAGTCTTAAATTCACAAGCGGAAGTGGCATTTTACTTGAAGTCCAGAGCCGTTTTTAATGAAAAATTATATTAAAATATAATCCCCAATTTTTCAATTTTAGTATTTAAGACTTTTATAGCAATGGGTTTGGTTTGGTTTGGTTTATTTAATTACGGCAAAGCACACTAGGGCTATCTGCCTAAGGGGAGGGATGCTTTCGTGGAGGACTTTCTAAGGGAAACTGGCTCGTATACACGTTACACATGGGAAAAACCACGAAAACCCCCATGCAGCCAGCCCGTTCGCGGGATTTATAGCAATGGGAAACAACATATTAGATTAAAACTAAAATTGGTAAATCGGTAAATTATGAGAAAAATTATAAAATTGGTAAATTATGAGATTATCAAAATTTCTTAAATTTAATATTTAAAATAGGTATATTATTGAGAACAACATATTACATTGATAAGCATTAAATATATCCTTGGAAGTATACTATATGTAATGAGAATAAGAATTCTTTTCCTTCTATTTTCAACTATACAAATGCAGTGCTAAAATTTTGGTGGCATACTGCGTATTATAAAATTAAATGCACTTTAAATCATATTAAAGGAAATTATATACAATCATTATGCTTTATTTCAGAGCAAGAAAGATGATAAATCAGCAATGACATCGCCAGATTCGACCTCAGGAAGGAGAAAATGCCTTACATTCTTCCGCACTCAAAGAGCTACTGGAGAGGAAGTGACTCAATCGCTCATTCCCGTAGGTGATGATTTATTATGCACCACATGTTTTAGTTAAGAAGTCACTTATGGGGTCAATTAAGTACTTATCGGAGCACGAAATATAAAAAATCAGCGCAGCTCTCGCATCGAACTCCAGACCTCCTGACTGTTACCCGAAAGTGCTTCAATTACACCATAACAACATATTATGTAACCATAACAACATATTATGTAACCATAACACCATAACAACATATTATGTAACCATAACACCATAACAACATATTATGTATGTGTCGAAGTAAAACATTTCTTATAATGTAACTCGACAGTAAAGACTTATTATTAACAAGTGCTTTTATCGCTTTTAAATCATTTCACTTCGTTCAGCTATTATAATTTGACAGAAAAATTCAAAATCTTAAACCCCGAGGAAATACTCTACATTCTAAATGAAAACACTCTGCCATATGAAAGTACTGAATGAAAACACTATTGTCATGCGAAGATTGTGAATGGAAATTCTCTGCCATGCGAAGATAGTGAATGGAAACTCTCTGGCATGCGAAGATTGTAAATGGAAATTCTCTGGCATGCGAAGATTGTGAATGGAAACAGTCTGGCGTGCGAAGGTTGTGAATGGAAACATTCTGGTATGCGAAGATTGTGAATTACAGATTGTACTGCGCTCTCATGCGAAGATTGTAAATGGAAATTCTGTGGCATGCGAAGATTGTGAATGGAAACAGTCTGGCGTGCGAAGGTTGTGAATGGAAACATTCTGGTATGCGAAGATTGTGAATGAAAACACTCTTTCATGCGAAGATTGTAAAATGGAAACTCTCTGCCATGCGAAGATTGTAAATGGAAATTCTCTGGCATGCGAAGATTGTGAATGGAAACAGTCTGCGTGCGAAGGTTGTGAATGGAAACATTCCGTATGCGAAGATGATAAAACATTCTTTCATGCGAAGATTGTAAAATGGAAACTCTCTGACATGCGAAGATTGTAAATGGAAATTCTCTGGCATGCGAAGATTGTGAATGGAAACAGTCTGACGTGCGAAGGTTGTAATGGAATATTCTGGTATCGAAGATGTTGAATGAAACACTTTTTCATGTAAATTGTAAAATGGAATTCTCTCCATGCGAAATGTAAATGGAAACTCTCTGCATGCGAAGATTGTAAAATGAAATCTGGCATGCGAAGAAATGGAAACAGTTGGCGTGCGAAGATGAATGAAACAGTCTGGTATGCGAGATTGTGATGGAAACATGCGGATGCGAAGATTGTGGAATGGAAAAACCTCTTCATGCGAAGATTGTAAAATGAAACTCTCTGCTCTGCGAGATGTAATGGAAATTCTCTGGCTGCAAGATTGTGAAAAACATCTGGCGTGCGAAGGTTGTGAATGGAACATTCTGGCGAAGATTGTTGAATGAAACTCTCTCATGCGAAGATTGTTAAATGGAAATCTCTGCCATGCGAAGATTGTAAAATGGATCTGCATGCGAAATTGTAATGAAATTCTCTGGCATGCGAAATGGAAACTCTGGCATGCGAACGTTGTGAATGGAAACTTCTGGTATGCGAAATTGGGAATGAAAAACTCTCTTTCATGCGAAGATTTAAAATGGAAACTCTCTGCCATGCGAAGATTGTAAAAACTCTCTGCATGCGAAGATTGTAATGGCATTCTCGGCATGCGAAGATTGTGATGGAACATCTGCTGCGAAGTTTGTGAATGAAAATTCATGCGAAGATTGTAAATTTTCATGCGAAGATGGAAAATGGAAACATGCGAAATTCTCTGCATGCGAAGATTGTAAATG